ACACACACTTTGTGAGACCAAGAACTACACAATAAAGCCAATTTACCATAAATATTTTGAGCCATTTCATCTGTTTCAATATTATTTTCACATACATAAACAGTATCAAAATAAAATGTTGGTGAACAAAAAATATTAAATGTCTTTTTGTCTAGTGATTCAATAATCGGTAAACAGTCATCTCTGTTATAAGTCATGATAACTCTAAATAAACAATCTTTGTGATGATTCCTTAATTTGCCAATATATTTTAACAAAGGGCCAAAATCATATGCAGCAACTTCTTCAGGCTTATCATTTTGATTCAAAATAGATGATAATTTTTCAATCACAATATTAATATTTGAGGTAAAATCCATAACTAGATTAAATGAGTGTGGAGTTAATAAACAAATTCCAAACGAGTTATTTTGAAATCGATTCTTTTGTAATGCAAAAAATCTGTATGCCCTTCGAATTATTTCTACACTAGACATCGAATCTATATTAGTAGGACTAAAATCAATGTCAATTTTAGATAACGCATAAGAATCTATAACAAATAATATTTTTTCATCTGGTAGATTTTTAAACTCAATGGGTGTTTTCGTCAGATTTTTTGATAGAGCGTTTGCATATGACATCGTAACAACAAATAATAATATATTAGAAATTACCAACAAAAACTTTTCAATTATCTTTTGAAGTTCAACTTCAGTTAGTTTTGGAATGTTTATGTGTTAATGGGTCCAGGTTGAATAATGTTGAAGAAATCCTAGAACAAAATTTAATTTGTATTAATATATTATGAAACACAACACAAACTGAAATATCAAATCGTTTTTATCTTGTGAACAGCATACCTAAATAATTTTCGATAGATAGTGCAATATAATAGCAATATTATATTATCATAAGAGTAGACAACTAAAAATGGCCGGTAACTGGTGGCGTTCACGATAAAGAAAAATGTTCTATTAGCAAAATTGAATTACAGGAGCAAAACGCTAAACTATCAATAAATAATATTGTATGTTTATTAGTTTAAAATGATTTTGGCATACAACGTGACCTCGTGTCAAATAAAGATAGACTGGGTTATATTATTATGTTAAACAGTCAACACTAAAACTATTAACTAAACACCYACTACAAATAAATTATATAAACATTAAATTTAMAATTTACAGAAATACGGGAAGTCGGGAAACAAAATTATGTTATTATGAAAACTTATTATCACAATATATTTTGTGGTTATCATGTTGGATTGATATCAGCCTGCCTCGGCGGTTACCATGAATTAATGATAAAAGAATTGTATGTAACGGTTTGTTAACCAAGGCGGCAAGGCTTTTTGAACAAAATGAAGATGAAAACCTAATAGCGACTCCCGTGTTCGTTGTACTTATATATAATGAAAAGACATACACCAAACGACTAGAAAAAATATTTAGTGTTWGTGATTCTCAGGTGTACGAAATTAAGTGTTTACAATTTATATTTTTTGGAATTTCAATAATTATTCCCAGTGGCGGCGCCAGAATTTTAATACCAGATGGGCCAGGCTGGGGCCCAAATATTTTAGTTATATTTTCAGGGCCGTCCCGAGGGGGGGCCACCCCCCCCACGACTCATCTAGTGGGGCCCAGTCGGCACATAGCTCAGCGATCCGTGGAGTCGGCGATTTTAACAATATTCAATAATTATAATATTATAATAATATTTCAAGTATTTGAAAAAATATTTTATATTGCACAGTCAAATKATGAGTTCAAATATTTTSCTATGAAATTTATATAACTACTTTATTTATAATTCAATAAGAATATCATAATTAATAATAAATTAATAACTATTAACAGTAATAACTGATAAGTAAAATAATAATAAAATGACAATGAAATATTGTCGTTCCATCCGAATATGCTCGATTCTCGATAACAATATGTCAATATGTTAAAAATAGATCTGAATATCTGATGTACAAAGTACAAATCGTCAAATCGACTGTCTGTACTCTGTATTGTCACCCGTATCGCTATATAATATTAGTTGTACATGATAGACTAAACAGTTAGTAATACGCTGTTATTTTCTAAACTAAGCTTAACATTTTGCAAAAGYTTTTCAGTCTCWATAATTTTATATTTTTACTTTTATAATAATGAGTGCCACAATTAATGTTAAACGTAAGAGAAAACGTGTTAAAGTCGAGTGCTTAKAATGTGGAAATACATTTGACGATGATTTTAAGAAAAAGCACGAAGAGAAGTTACATAATGGTAAACGGATAAATGTGAAACATGTTGGCGCTCCTAAAAACCCGTTCGAAAGTGCGGCCAAAACTTCACAACTTTTATCCAAATAGATAAAACTGCATCATATGATTCCGGTAAGCTTTTATATTTTTTAATTGTTATACACCGTAATTGAATCCAATTTTAAATTTCAYATTTATAATATTAGTTCTTGATACATTACGTATGGTAAAAAATATTGAGAATAGAATTTTCATATAACATTAAATATACAGACATACA